ATTTATAGGGGGTGTGCGCTCTGAGACTGACATCTCATTATTTTCAAGTCAGCTCTAAGAATTTCTATATTACGAAGACAGAGATGAATTAGATCTTAACACTTTTTTGGTTTTTTTATTGCTTCACTAAATATATAAGACTGTATTAAGCAACCAAACACGGGTGGGTATCTTTAAAAGCAGCCAGCAGATTCTAAGACTAAGAGACACAATTTAAAATACTATCCTAGAGGAAAAGTGCTTTTACATAAATACATCTTCAAATTCAGTTCCTCCATAATTTTTGAAGCTAGCCCAGTATTTCAAGCACTGCAAAATGATATTTATATGCATTTGAAATATTTATAACATCTCAATTTTCTGTTATTATTAAAGCTAAATTGTGCTAGAGAAATATATTATTAAAGAAGCTAAATTTTATTAACCTGTTAGTCTTATTTCTTACATTTTCTCCAAGCTACATTAAAACCAAAGAAATTGCTTACAATTTCCACACACACTATCTCTGTTCTTCCTGAAGCCTCTAGAGAACTCTAAAAATTCTAATTAGAATTAGCAGTTATAACCTACATATTTTATTATTATTTCAAGTTTAGTTAATACTAACCATCATTACTTTAATTCTTATACAATATCACTTTTATCTAGAATTACAATACATTTTTAAGGAAAATGACATTATTATTATCGTCTTGTTATTTATACGTCCCCAAATATCACCAGATTGAATAATAAATAAAACTAGAACACATATACAAATTCCAACAGTTACATGTATGATGTATATTCAAAAGTACTAATAGGGTCTTCTCCAACTGCCTCTAATATACTTTTTTTTTTAATTAATCCAGAGAGCATTTTGAGATCTACAGCATCATTATGGCTTGTAAGAAGATCCTAAATATTACAAGCACAAGGACACAGGGTTTGGGAACTAGAAGAAACCTTAAAGATTAGGAATCCGTACTGATCAGTATATCATCATATCTTGTCTAGTCTACTGGTATTTATTTACAATCAGTGGTCCATTTACCTACCTGTGAAATCCCATCACCCATCTGTCCACCGAAAGCCTGCTCAATTGTTAATTATCAAATCATTGGGCCCCTTGGGCTTAATGAACAAAACCCCATTTCCTCAGTGTAAGGTTCACCTTACCACCTTCCCTCCCATGTCCCAACCCAAAAGGACATGCTTTCAACACAGCATGTGCATCAGCCTCCCCCTATTTTGTTAATGGTGTTATCTGCCTAGAATGCCTTCTTTCTTTCTCCCCCTATTGAAATTTTGCCTAAATTTCAAAGCCCAGCTCAAATTACACCACTTCTGGAATTTCTATTTGCCCTACTCAAAATTGATTTCCATCTTGTGCTCCTATGGCTTCTTAAAAACATCTGTGCTAACATTTAAAACAACTTGACTAAATGGAGTGTACCTCTTCTTTCTCTTTCACTAGATGGATGATGAGTTCCCTGGCACAGAGACAAGACTGTGTTCGTTTCTCTCCATCCTATTTAGTATAGTACCTTGCACATAGTGGGTACCCTACAAATATTAAATTACATGAAGTAAGAGATCCATTCTCTCCTAAAATATAAATAATTCGGTTTATAATAGGAAATTTTAAATAATTTTCTCTACAACTCTAAAAACAAGGAATTCAAAAAGAAAGTATAATCTGATAGTACTTTCCCATATTAAATATTTACACATTTAAATATTATAGGTATCAGAACTAAGCTACTTTAAGACTTCTTTCTACTTAGCCATCTGAAGCAACTTTACACTCCTAAGTATTAAACATTTTCCTAAAACATAAGAGGGGAGAGGGTATAGCTCATTGGTAGACTGAGTGCTTAGCATGCATGAGATCCTGGGTTCAATCCCCAGTACCTTCATTAAAATAATAAATAAACCTAATTACCCCCCCAACATAAAAAATTAAATTAAATTAAATTAAAAATAGACCAGTGATGCTTTACAATGCATTGAGGGAGAGCAGAGGCAGGAGCTCTCCAACTTTCTTGCAGTAGGACGAAATTCTCAGAGGTTTCAGACCACTGGGTCTAAAAGCTTTGGAAATAGGTCTTAGAAATAATGAGTGTGTTGCTCCTTCCAGAACACAGCTGAATGAGTGGCCAACAGCAGCAGAACTGATGGGGAAGAAACTGGTGCCCTGGAGCTAGGAAAGCCAGAGCACAATTTGGTTTGAATTTCCTGGAGCCAGAGTCTCCCGCAGATTTCTTACTGATCCTGCCACCTATTGACCAAATTATGAATCAAGGCACTGCAAGTGACAAGGGACTTCAGCTGTGACAATAGGATCAATCAACAGTTATTAAGTGTTATTAAAATAAATGGCAGTTTTGTATCATTAACATTTGTTACACACGCCTGGACTATGCTGTGATGCTTAATTGTTCCTTCAAATGTCCCTTCAGAAATAAATCTTAGTAAAAGTAATGATCCTGAAAGATGCTCCTGACCTGATTTGTACTCAAGTCTTCAAAATTAGGAAAGCAGAAATAGTAGTAGTATCATATAGAACATTCAGAGAATCGGAGTTAAGAGTAATGGAAATGCCCATTTCTCAGCAGGGAGTACATGAGAGCCTTTCTATGACTTTTGTTTAGTTTTACTTTGGTTTGATTAGGTTTTAGCAGCCACAGGAAGAATGGCTTCTACTGTAACTGACTGGCTTTACCAAGCACTGCTCCAAAGAGCAGGAAATTCTCTTGCTGTATTAACAGTCATACTAAGTGTCAATAAGCAAAACAAAACATACACACAGCATCATGTCAATGAAAGGGAAAGTGGAATTAATATTTATTAAGTGCCTGCTATATAAAGCACTACGTTGGGTGCTTTAAATATATAACCTTGTTTAATTTTCACGACACTATTAGATAAATATTAGCCTTACTCATTTTATGGATAAGAAAATTCAGTCTCAGAGGTTACTAGCATCACAGCTGAAATACAAATATGTGTGACCCCATCTCTTCGGGACTTTTCCCACTACCCCACACTAGTAACCTCTACATCTCAAACTTCACTTTCTTCATTGGCAAAATAGAGTCAGGCTTATTCACTCCTAAGGTCTACACTAACCCTAAAATTTTATGAAACCTGTCATTCTTATGGGACTCAATATAAATACATAAGTAAAAAAAGCAAGTGCTCGGTATAAAATGTGCGAAGAACTAGAGGAAGGAGTTCACAGAGAAGGCATTAAAATTGCCTATGAATAGAAGAAAAGCTGCTCAACTTCACTCCTAATTGAAGAAGTAAAAATTATAACATGGATGATTTATCATTTCACCCCTGAGGTCGGAAAAGGCTGTGGGGAAACAGATACTCATACATTTTGGGTATAACACTATAAATGGACACAAACTCTGAAAGGAATTTTGGTAATATCTATGAAAATTATAAACATAGACAGTATTATAGCCGGGAATTTCACTTCTAGAATTTATCCTGCAGATACATTCTATGTGTACAAAGGTTTATGTAGATACACGTTTGCTGGAGCATTGACTGAAACAGCAAAAGACTGGAACTAATCTAAATATCCATGAATAGGGGACTGGTTAAATAAACTCAGGCTCATACCACAGGATTCTATGCAGTATGTAAAGAGAACACAGGAGATAAACGTAAACTATTAGGGAATAATATCCAAGTATATAAGTGAAAACAAAAAGAAGTAAAAAACAAAAAATGATCAATACATATATGCTTCTAAGGCATAGACTTTTTCTATAGTAAGAGTGGTTTCCTCTGGGAAAGAAGCTTTAAGTCTGTAATTGAAGGGGTATGTTTACCAGGCATCTTTTTATATTTTTATCAATACCTTGATATAAGCATGTTTCCCTTTTTTGATCAAAAAAAGTGATTATAATAAACAGTAATCTCTGGAGTCACTGACAAACCCCTTAAATGTGAAGTCTACTACAGAAAATAAGAATGAAAAATAAAAGACTTTAATGGCAGGAATTTGTTTAAATGTCAAAATTCTTCAGAATACACTAACCACCCCAGATTTCTATGTGCGAGTGAACTCCTAGCTCCAAGAAACAAGAAATACAGCACAATCACTCCCACTGCACAAGATAAGATAGAAGGACTGAAAAGGAATAATTGTCACCTCTCCTCTCCAAATCTTCCGAAATTCACATTCTCACATTCTAGGGCATGTTGTGACAAATCAGGCAAATGAACTGTAAAGGTGCTAATTCCCAGGGCATGGGCGTGTGGAATTTATCAATTTCTTAGTGGTGAAGACTCACTCAGGCTGCAAAAAGTCCTAGGCTTAACTAAACTATCAATTCCACAATAACTAGTAAAATAGCAATGTGAAAATAAGATAGCAAAAATTCACAAACCACAAGGATCAATTATGAAATTGAGAAGTTACCTATAAAGCACCAAAATTATCTGTGAAATTCATAAGAGGTTAAGGGTCTAATCCTAAACAAGGCACTCAATTATCAAATCAGTAAAATATACTTATTAGGTACCAGACTGTGATATTATTCCAGAAAAATCTGCTTATAGCAAAAAAAAAAAAACCTATAAATTTTCCTAATAAACCAAATGGATTATAACAAATATAAGGCTATGTAAGATTGGTGTCACAGTGTTGTTAATATTCTGTTGTGTTATTTCCTCTTAAATGGTCAATCAACAAACTCAGCTCCTCTGCTTCTCAGTAAAAATGATAACTTTATAATAGAGGAGTATAAGTCACATACTAAACAATAAAAATAAAACCCTTATTTTCAGTTGAATAACAACATTTGTGCAAATTAAATTATAAAGAAAAAAGACCTATCCTTTAGTTGCTGGGTAAAATATAGTTAATACATCAATCTATTTATGCTTGACTCTGTCCAGTGTGGAAAGATTATACATGTATACATTACTAGAAATTTTTACCAAAGCACTGAATTCAATATGTCAGAACAAGAACTTCATATTGAAAAAATAAAATATACCTTTCATGTGAGTAGCAAAATTCAGTGCCAATTTTGCAAAGAGATCAGGATTTTCAAACTTATCTTCCTTAACTTTTAACCAGAAACAGTTCTCAGATAATTCTTTGGGTTCAATCTGAAACAAACAAAAAACAAAGAGAAGTTTCTAAATTATTACTTCATATTTAATTTTTCAAAGAATTCACTTTCACCAAGGTTGAATGACAGTACCTTTATTCATTTACCTACTAAATCAATTTTAGAATCTATCAAAAATAACACTTTTTAAGTAAATATTCACTTGGAAAGTCACAGGATTCTACTGGTGTACAGAAAAATACATGAGAGCGATAATAGCCCATGTAGCAAATTACATCGTAAAAAATCTTCTACTGGAAGGAATCTGACAAATAATTTAGTCAATCACTTCCCCAACTTACATATGTTCTTCTTGCTCCTGGATTTATGGGGAAACTGGGAGTCAGAAAAGTAAATTCCCCATGTTTACTGACTAGGTTATAGATAATAAACATAATAGCTGACAATTACATACCTCCTAGTATGTGTCAGGTAGTGTTTGAAGAGATTTCACATATTAACTCATCTAATCAAACCCTCACAATAATCCTCTGAAGCTATTATTATCTCCATGTTAAAGATGAGGAAACTGAGCCCCAGAAAGTTTCAGGGGCTGCCCAAGCTAGTAAATGGCAAAGGTGGGATTTAAACCTAGGCGGTATAGCTCCGCAGAATTGTGCCTTAGTCACCACACTGAAACCCCCTATTAGAAGAGTATGTGATATGTAAGTGCCATTATACTGTATGCTTCACTGCTAAATTAACCTATCATTACAATTACACACACAGATAACCGAGCCAGCAGCTTCTGGATCCTACAGTTTGGCAGATTGTGCCTAAGAGAAAATAACTGTACTCCAAACACACTTACATCTCATTTACTCTTATGAGTAAAGCATAAGTATATGCTTAACTTTAAAACAGACTGAACCATTATTCTGGTCAAACAATTAATATGTAGATACTGTCAGATATCACTGTAAGTAGGTTCTTGGAATAACTATTTCCTTAAATGGTGGCCTGGGTAATCGTATTTTCGTTAGATTAGTTTCTAGTGAATGGGGACTGTGTCAATCTTGATAATCAGGTTTTTATAAGACATGTTATTTGATAATAATAAAGCAAAATAATGTTCAAAAATACTTTCAAACATCATATGAAAAATAAGTTAGTTTATGTCTCTACTGAATACCATCACTGATTCCACACTCTCTCAAAGTTTAAAACTAAAAAAAATAAATAAAAAACCCCAACGTTTTCTAAGAACAAAAATAACTAAGATAAAAAGGCTCACTAATAAAAAGATTATATTTCAGAATGTCATAGCACTTAAAGTTAACAACGGTAAAAGGAAAATTATTTTTCATTTGGTTCTGCCTTTCGTATATTACTCTTTAAAACCACTTTCACTTTGATTTTCCTTTTGACTTCTACATTAATTGCAAGTTATCTGTGGAATTTCCAATTCTTTAGCTCCTAGAACTGAAAAATGGACAAAAAGCTGGTGAACTCACAAACGAAAGCAAAAGAATCAGCAATCATGTTCGCAAACATTATATAATACTTATATGCAGCAATACAGTCATTCACACATTAATGACCAACTATGGCTATACAAAGCCAAGTAACTCTAGTCATAGTAGTACCTTTGACCAGTTGATTCTCTTCATGGACACTTCAGGCTTATATATTTTTTTCTGCTTCATTCCATACGGCAGATCAAGTGCTGTTCCCGGCAAAGGAAGAGCTCCAAAGGGAGGCGGTGGAATAGGCCCCCCAATCAAAGGTGGTGGTGGTGATACCCCAGACGAAGGAAGTGGAGGAGGAGGTGGGGGACCTACTCCGGGTAGAGGTGGCGGTGGTGGAGGTGGGGGTGGCAGTGGCCCACTACCTGGCAATGGAGGCGGTGGAGGAGGAGGTGAACCTGAGAGTCCATGTCCCTGAAATATCAATAACCCAATGTTTATTTCAATGCTTACTGTTAAGTATGGTAGCAAAGAAAACTTATCACTAGACATTTGTGGTTTAAGATTTATTTAACTGAGCAACATCTAAGGGCTTAACAGTACATGAAAAAGATGTGCACAGATTTTTGATAAGCATTATAAACCCTGGACAATGAGTAACTCTGCCAATATACAAAGGCTAGAACATTTGGCATTCTCGAAGATTTTGTGAAACACTTCTCCAAAATAATGAAAAATTACCTTTCATTATAAATATATGCAAAGATGAAGTACTATATATAGCTTGGGCCTGTTAGACTAATTGGTTTGAATATAGAATAATTAATACAAGGTCACAGATTTGATTCTCTTGGGGACAATAAGCTTTTCACAGAGTCTGTCTCACAGCACAAGTAATTTAGCTGTCATGTAATATCAAGAATTAACACTAAGTAACACCTATTTGCATAATAATGCAGGTTTATCAATGCTTTTACATCTCTTATTTCCTTTCAACCTTACTATAACCCTATAACGTAGGTTGGACATTTTTACCTCACCTTTATCTCACTGCTAAATTAGTAAATTATGCTACAAGTTTAGTGTATAAATGGATTTGCTGAATAATTTGAAAGGTAAAATATGTATCCAACTTTAAATGAGATTAAATACTTGTTTGTAGTTGCCTCTATGAAATCATGTTTATGACATGAAACTTGTGCAATCACAAAAATGCTATTACTATAAAAAAGGATTTCTTTACTCAAGTTAAATATATGTTTTACAAATACAATAAAAATCTCAAATGTTTTTAAATGCCACCAGCCTTTAAGAATCAAATCATTGTCAGCCCTTTTCTTCTCTCCTATGAACATTTAGGAATGGAGCAATTAAATCAGACTATAATAGAGTATTGAGAATTGAATATGGCAAATGAATAATTTACAATTTGACACAATTTTGGGTGTGCTGGAAAGTATTGTGTGACTCTGCACTTTTACAGATCCATTAATTTAATAATAAATAAACAACTACTCACTAAATGGTAAGGCCCTGTGACAGGTGCAGTAGGGCCTTGAATAATAGGAATAAGAAATAAAGACATTGGCTTCACGGTGCTAATGCTGCAGTGGAATAACTAAAGCAGGCACGCAAACAAACATATGACTGGTCGACAAAAGTGATAGAGAAGTTCAAAGAAATTCTCTGACAGTTTTTAGTGATGCTTTCCCAAGGGTATGTTACTGAGCTTATCCCTAAAGGGTGGGTTTCAATGGCACAGATGAACAGGGGCGGGTGTTTCTGAGAGAGAGTAACAAAAGTCAGCATTTCTCAACTAAGTTCCATGGAAAGACTCTTCTCCAGATGTTAAGAGGTGGTCCTCGGTCAAGGGTTCTGTGGCTGTATGAGTTTAGGACAGCTGCAGGGAAAAGAAGAGTTAGCCAGGTTTCTTCAATGTAGGCCATCTCAGACCCTTTAATATGCTGATGAGTATTATGAGTCTCCAAGGGGAGAATTTCAAGTGTACCAAATTTATTAGACTATGGAATGCTTTCGTCCTGAAAAACCTATTAGCATCTCTGTAACTAATGTCTGGGAAATGCTGGCAGCAGGGAGAGTGTGGAGCCAGGAAATTCTAAGTGTGAAGGGAGGAAAGGTGACTTAGCTGCAACAGAGGCTGGAGTTAGGGGAGCAGGGACTAGGCTGCAGAGGGGAGATAAGGGAGCCCAGGATAAAAGGCCTTCAAATTCCCGGTAAGGAGATTTTTCTTTAATCCCAAATGCAACAGGCAACCACTGGACATATTAAAGCCTGGAGTGACAATAATCAGGGCAGTGTTTTAAGAAGATTAATTTGCCACTGACATAAAGGATCTATCTGAAGAGGAAGCAACTATAGGTAGGGAGGAAAGTTAGGAAACAATTGTAACATTCCAGGCAGGATGTAATGAGAGAGTGGCCCTGAGGGCTTCCGGGTTTTGATGTAAGGGGGAAAAAAAGAGAAAGAACTGACATGAAACGGTGACCAGCTTCATTTGTCAGGTGGCAGGGCGGGGAAAGGGCAAAGAAAACTCCAGCTTCAGGATCACAAAAACTGGTGGTAAAATTTAAGCAAGTAAGAATGGAAACCAAACTGCTTGGAGGAAAGAGAAATGGCCACAAAGAGTGGGTCTGATTTCAACATGCCGCAGAGCTGGAAATACAACGTCAAACCCAGGAGACCTGACACCTACCAAAAGGTGATGTTTGAATGTATGCTATTGAGTGGGATAATTGTTCAAGGACAGACAGAGAAAAAAGAGCTGAGGACAGGACACTGGGGAAGGTCATCATTTGGGGCATGAAAACAAAGAGAAACCGACTTCTGAGAGATGTAAAAAAGGAAGTCAGACGACAGAAAAACAAGAAAGATTTAGTGAAAAGAAATTATCAAATATTATAGATGTGAAAGAGACTAAGGGTAGGAAAAGGCCACTGCGTTGGGTAATTTGGAGTTCACTGGTGACTTCTGAAGTCACTTTTCAGTAGACTGATAGAAATAGACCTAGTCAATGAAGAAACATCTACTGAGCTCTGCGAGGCTAAGAAGTCATCTTACGTTTCTTAAATAGTCACCTAAAAAAATGCATTGTGTAGAGAGTACTCAATCAGCTCTAAAATTTAGACACCATAATTAAGATTTTAAGTGTATACTGGAGCTTTTCATCATAGGAAATGTAGGTAGAAATGTAAAGTTTATAGATTTTGAAATTATGGTAGTCAAGATTTACAGAGATCTCAAAGAGCTTTGGGAATAATTAAAATTAATGTGCATTTCCACATTCCCTTTGAAAGAAAATACTACGCATCCAACTTTTCAAATCATCATGAAAATTTCATCTCAGAATTTTGCTTGTGTGATATACTCTATTAAAAATATTCCGGGCAGTTTATCCAACTAATGCCTTATTTTTTATCCCAACATTAAAATGATTTATTGTCCTAGAAAATCAAATCTGTAGTTATTTCAACAACAATGTGATACTGCCAAAAAGTCTGCTTCTGGTCACATTTTTTCCTTCCATCTAACAAGATAATTTCCTCCCATCGAACTCACTGTGACATGACACAAAGTCTATATCTTGTTTCATTACCTGGGTTCGAAGTTGCTGGATTTCTGTTTCAAGCTCTTTGATTTTTTCTTCTCTTTTCTGAAGCTCAGCTTGAGCTTCCTGTCGAGCTGTGAATTCTTCATCGAACTGCAATGATCGCCACCATAAATGTACACTTAGTAATACCGTTTTGAGAAAGCTTTAAAGAACATTACGTATTAAATAAGCGGAGTGTCTTTTGCCTCTTAAATTCCCAGCTCACTCAGAAAATCCAAGCTCCTGATAATTTTTATGACAATTAAGCACCTCTGTGGGGATGGGGTGCTGCCTGTGATGGTGGTAAAGAAGAAATATGCCCCCAATCCAAGGTAAACAAATCACTTCTTAAAAAAAAAAATACAAAACAACATTTTTAAAGGGTGGACTGAGAAGTCTCTCTTCAGATATAGTGGACATTTTTAGTTATTGAAAGTTGGGTTTTAGAATTAATCTTTTTTTTATTGTTTCACCTCATACTTCTATGTTTATTTAATTAAAAAAAAATCAAACCTAAAAATTAGGCATCAAGCAATTCAACTCCTTAAAACTGTATTTAATCTTTGGTTGTTTTTTTGGGGGGGGAGGCGGTGGATTAGGTTTTTATTTTATTTACTTATTTATTTACTTATTTATTTACTTATTTATTTATTTATTTATTTAATTTATTCATTTCTATGGCAGTACTGGGGATTGAACCAGGACTTCATGTGTGCTAATAATAAGCACGTGCTCTGCCACTGAGCTATACCCTCTCCCTCAAACTGTATTTAATCTTGAAAAGAGACTGCACTTTTTAGAATGTTCAAATGGATGGACATTAACACAGTAATACAAATTAGAATATTTTTATTACAATCTTAACTGTATAGCATCGAAAAAGTGATGCCCCACAAAATCTGACCATAGAGTGATATGTCATAATGACATTCTCATTCAGATGATTAACCAAAACACTTGAGTAAAATGGTGTAAGAAGGTGGGTATAGCTCAGTAGTAGAATGTAGGCTTAGCATGCACGAAGTCCTGGGTTCAATCCCCAGTACCTCCATTAAAACCAAAAGTCATAATCAATCTTTGTAACTTTGTAGCGAAAAACATGTTCTAAGAGTTAAAATGGGAGGTTAAATTTCAGTGTGCTCAGCCCAAGAGACCATCGGACTGGTGACTATCCATTGACTGCATCCTGCCCAACCCTTACCTCACTCAGGGCTCTAATCAGACCCAAATAAGCCTGCATACTTAGAGTGAATATTGTTTATGTCCAGCTGTAGAACATTTGCCCTTTATTGTCACTGTCACTTCGAGTCCTTTTAGACATCAATGCATGATTCCAACAATGTTACTTCTGTTTTGAAAAGTGCTATATCTTACTGCCTAAAATTATCTTTCAAGTTTGTGGAGCAATAAAAAAGTATGTTCACTGTCAATAAATATTCATCCTCATAGTGGATTTGACCTTTGGAAATTCTAAAATGCCAATCAGATTCAAGTCTGAAGAAAGAGTTGGTGAACAAATTGGATAAGAGTGTTTGGGTCAAATCTGAAATACTTACTTAATTAACTCTTTTACTCATCTCTACTTGAGTCCCGGGAAAATACCCCGCAGAGGCTGGTCCAAATCGTTTCTAATCTCTTTAAATGTCAAGCCCACCCCACATTCTTCAGTGTCAGCAAATGACCTTGTTTCCTAGTTCACTGGGAAGATGGAGCTTTTTCAACTTCAGCGGTATCCCTGTTAAGATTGATCTGATTCTATACTCCCAGGCTCCCTCCCGAAAGCTTCTCCTGCGTGCTGCTCAAGCATGCTGTCCACACAAGCACGCTGTATACGATTTTCCTCTATTAATGGTTTATTAGTACATTTGAGGGAAGGAACACAATGTTTCTGCTTGCAATTGGAGACTATCTTAATCTATAAACCCACAGAGCAGGAATCAGAGAAGTCTGAGATATGTGAGCTGGAAGACTTCTTACGAGTCCACTAACCTCATTCTCGCCTTTTAATGATGAAAATATCTCCAAGGAGAGTAAGTGGCTACTTACAGCCACAGCTAATTAGCAGAAAAGCTGAAATAAAATCTTACAACTACTGCTTCTCATTCTAGCTGCTTCCCCTCTTTTTGTTTTTTGGTTTTTTTTTTAAAGTACTTTTGACTGCCTCTTAAAACCAGAATAAGAGAAGGCATGCAGATAACCACTGGGAGACTGGACACGTTTTCATTCTAAATGTTGATGAGGAGAATAAAGCATCAGACACTGAAATTTCTTTTTTATTATTTCAAGACTCCTTTTCTAATAATATATGCTTACAGAAATTTTGACCAGATAGATCATCACAATTTGCTCCCATCCCGTAGTATCTAATCACAGTGCCAGAGAAAAAGTAAAGCGATTCTAAGATTTTCAAAGGGAATTTTCAATGTGCTACTTAAAACAAGAACATAAGAAATATAAAGGTCTATTAATCAAAAAGCATGCATTTTCTTTCACCAATAAAAATGACAGCTTCACACAAACATTTTATGCTCGAGCTCTTAAAAGCTCTTCTAGTAACTGAAAGAGCAAAGACATTTCTTTAGATGCCCTGAAGTAACTTCAGTAATACTCTATAATTTCTAGACTGATAGCAAAAGTGATTATCTAATCTCCAAGGTAAGTCATAACTTTGAAGAGACAGTAATATGTAAGCCCTTTATCTTGCTGTCAGAAGGCTGAAAACTGGAGAGCTTTTAGACTTGGGCTTCAATTCTTCTCCTGCCACCAACAGGAGAGAAATATTCTACTGATGCTTTCTAGGCTCGGTACCAAACAGTGCAACTTTTGGTAGAAGCTACTAAAATTGTAGCTATGCTGTAATGAAACAAGGAAGAGACTTTCTGAGATTGAAATAAAATTCAGATATCTGTAAAGCTGGCATTTACATAGGCATGACACAAAGAAAGGGGAACCTCAAAATTCCACCAAGCCTACATCCAGGAAGGAGCATTCATTGAAAAAAAGGGTGATTATAAAATTTAAAGAAGACAAGTCTAAGCACAGAGAGATAAAAAGGAAGAAAAAAATATTGCACCATTCTGGTGTGATCAGTAGCACTGATTTAAAGAACAGAGTAGATAAGACTAGCTAAGGATCTCACAGTTCTCCAAGGAGCTATCTTCTGTTAAGGGAACGTATTTTGGTTGACCGTTTCTAACTATATGCTTCCGGCAATCCAATTTTATTTATCACTTTAGTAGAATGTGGTTAGTATTTTCCTTCCATAATGGATTAAAAGTGATGAGAAGGGAACAGTAGCAACCTTAACTCATCAGGAAAGAAATCAATGTTCCAAGGTTGTGTCTGAATCCAGAAACCTAAAATACTACATAACTGAAACAACATTTATAAGGCCTCACATAAAGAAACAAGGGTAGAATATGGACTGATTAAATTAGGAATTTCAGTGAATATTTTCCAAACCTTACCTTCTTCGAAAATTCCACTGCTTTTTGCTCACTTTCTTCTACTTTTGCCTTGTTCACACAAGAATCTATTCAAATTGACCAAAAATGATTAGAAATTATTGCATTGGATCACTATGCAAATGATGGCTGCCAGTCTATAATTCAATACATAGACTATCATTTTTATGTCAATTGCTATTAAAAGGAAAATGATGGATACTACACATAAAACATACACTATCAGGTTTTCTTTCTTTTGTATACTAGTTGAATTAAATGATAGTATTGTTGAGGTAAAAAGCCAAGAATTCAAGAATATATTTGACTAAATCATCATCATTTTTAGAGGTATTCAATTATTTACCAACTTTAACAATCACAGAATTCTTTAAAAAATGTTTGTAGTTTATTATGGGTGGAGAAGTGCCACAGAATCTATGCTTAAAAGTATTAAGACTCAAAATGACCCTTAAAATGATACTAGAGGGGGAGATACAGTAGCATTCATTAATTCAGACTTCTTAAAGAAAAATTTCACTTAACTTCTAATCAGGGGTAGAATGTATCACATAAATATAAAAACAAACATAAATCTCTCAGATATAATCAAGCATTCCAGAATATAAATAACTGAAGAACTCTTCTGGGTAATATTCTCCTTATTATATATAGTATATTTTGTATACCTATACTTAACCATCCTATACTTATTTTTCTTCGCAAAAGAAATGAAAGCATATGTCTAGACTCAGATTTGTACATGAATGTTCTTAGTAGCTTTATTTTTAATAGCCCAAAACTGGAAGGAACCCAAATGTCCATCAACAAGTAAATGTATAAACAGATTGTGATATATCCGTGTAATGGAATACTATGCAGTCATAAAAAGGAATAAACTATTGATACATGCAATACCACAACATGAATGAATCTCAAAATAATTATGCCGAGTGAAAAAAGCCAAGAAAGAGTGCATGCTATATGTTTCCATTTACGTAAAACTTTAGAAAATGCAACTAATCTACAGTAGGAGAAAGCAGATCATTGATTGTCTCAGGATGGGGACAGGTGGAGAGGCACAGAAAGGGGAGACTATAAGGAAGAACACAGCAACTTTAGAGGCTGACAGAGATGTTTATCATTTTGACTGTGATGATGGTTTTAAGAGTACATATAAATACCAAATTTTATACTTTAAATATACGTAGTTTTTCTTATGTCAAGTGTACTTCAATAAAGTTCTTTCCTCTTTTGAAAGAACTGTGTGGCTGCAGCAAGGCAACTAAGGAGTTGCCTTAGTTGTGAAATGATGAAATCAAAGAGAAGCCAGATCTGAGCTAGGCTGGCAATGGTTGGTAATGATTTGGATTTAAATTTCAATGGGAAGGTCTTGAAGAAATGTAGGCAAGGATATGATCTGATGTATTAAAAATACTAGACTTACAAAACTGTGAAACCAGAAGAGACTCTACGCTTCTCAAGTCCAGGTTACCTTAAGATAGAAATCCATAGATTTCCTAGAAGTTCTTGAAGGCCTTGATAATTTTTGTATGTACAAATGACTGTGAGTGTGTGTGTGTGTGTGTGTGTGTGTGTGTGTGTGGGTGCGTGCATGTGTGTATGCACTAATGAAAGTTTCACAGCCTTCATCAGCTACTCAGGACTTCTGGCCATAAAATATTAAGAACCACACACATATTTGGCTTATTTGAATTTAGAGGTGAGGAAACTGAAGCCTAGAGAAGTTAAACGATTTGTTCACAATCACAGAGATGACACGTGGATGAGGTCATAATGGGTTTTTGATACTGACTGTCCTGTCTCACCTGGACCCTCCATGTCTTCCCGCCCCAGTGCTCTTGATTAACAGTACACAGTCCTAAGTACCTGGCACGCAGTACCCAAAACAAATGTCTGCTGAACACTAAATGAGTTAGACAAAATCCTCAGTAGAGTATGTGGGTCAACTATGGTCCAACAGATTACAAGACAGTACAAATATTTGGAAATAGTCCCTTATAACTCTCTCAACAAAATATGAAATAAACTACTGCGTTTATCAAGCTCAGGGGAAAATACGCAGTGAGGCCAGGGTTCACATTAATGGCAGAGGTGAGGCAAACTGGCACAAGCTTTCTCAAAAGCATTTGGCCTTTCAAAATTCATACCCTCACCTAGAGGAATCAATCCTAAGGAAATATTTAGAGAAGCCAAACATTTATATAAAGAGTGTTCACAGCAAGTTGATTTATAATTGTGAAAACCTGAAAATGATCTGTATATACAAAAGAAAGGACTGGCCAAGATGATTATGATATTCTATAAAATGGAATATTATACAGACACTCAAAGTCACATTTGGAAGGCCAACATGGAAAAATTGCCATAACATAATGCTTCCTGAAAAATCAGCATATAGATAGATAGAAGAGGGATGGAGGGAGGGAGGGAGGGAGGCTGAAAAATGAGATTTGTGGTTGATTTTGTCACTTAAATATGTCTCTAGATTGTCTACAATATGTAAGCATTAGTTTTAAAATCAGAAAAGAATAATACATGATAAATAATAAGGAATTCATCTTTGAATATTACTGTGAGTCTTCCCAGTGCTATGGGGTGAAGAAAAACATATAATCGACATTCAACAGCTGTTGTTTTCTACCTTTAAAGACAAGACAAATGAGTTCATGCTAGAATCTTAGCAATAGTGATTTCAATTAGGTATAAATAAAACTGCTTAACTATAAGGTCATATGGCATACTATATTTCGCAAGAGAGGTTTTCACATCATCTTTGAGAGATTATGCCAGCAAGTGTAGCTAGCTACCAGTCTCAGATGATAAAAGGTCATTTCCACAGCAATCTAAGTAGATGAACATGATCATCTCAAATTCCTTCCTAGCTCTAAGGTCTATGAAAATAGAAACTGATCTGCTTTGATAGAATTAAAAGGTCGTTAAGTTACTGAAATAAGCCTGCATTGCTTTTCTCAGACCTGAACACTAATAACACAGCATTACTAATTAGATCCTACTGTACATGTGATTTCTACAAAACCACTAAGGTACCAGCATAAACTGAATCAAAGGATTTCAGAGTCATGCTTCTAAAAAAGCAACGCATTCACCTATAATTTTTTTTTGGGGGGAAGGCACTGATTTAAACTGAATTCAAGAGTGTTGAGACTTAACAGATTAGTATTTCCAGTCACGTAGGCAGAATTCTCATGATCATCATAATTAATAAATATAGCAAATGAGTATCCACAGACACAATGATTTACCAGATATTAACAGAAGAAGTTTAGTGAAAGAGCTACATTTAAAAAATGTCTACTATACAAAAGAGAGTAAAACACAAAGGACACTGAGAATGATATTACATACCTATCAGATGAGTGAAATCAATGTCTAATCTTTGTCTATACTTGAAATCTGGATCCATCCCACTGCAGTGGAGCACTATCTGTGAAACACACTCCTCTATTATTTTGTAATACTGTGGCCTGAAAAAGAAAAGGAGTATTCTTGAATACCTTTTCTATGCATTCAAATCAGTTTTCTTAAGAAGTGATTCAGCATGATAAAGAAAAATAAGTCATTTCCTAACAGCTCAAAAAACTATTTTCTAGTCATTCCATTCCTTCAGGAGAAATATGCCTAAGCTTAAAGATGGTCTAGATGTTATAGTGCAAAATCCATTGTGATACAATCAACTACGAACACTTAGTGACTTAATACTCTAGTTTGCAGGGATTCATGCTTGTGTTCAAAGATACTTATCAACCTTATCTACTCACTTAAGCTATTGTTCCTAAAGTTAATAAAAACAAATGACTTTTAGTCCTACATCTATGGATAGAGAAATGGTTCTAGGCCTCTCCAAGTTCTCAATTTCAATAAGGGATGAGTACCTTGGCATTACATGGCAAACAATGTCTTGAATTTACTGCTACGCTTTTACTCAAGATAGCTATAATAGCTTTTACAAAACTGGACTGAGTCACTTATGTTACAGACTACAGCAAAGATCTATTCATGCACGTATTTTAAGATTCATTCTGTAGAAGCATACACACTAAATATGCATGGCTATAGCTTCAATTTGTTTAAAGTGTCAAAGGTTTTAAAACATATCCTAATTCTGTAATCTATCAAGGTAATTCTGGCCTTAAAAATGACCACTTGCATATTTCAGAAATTTTTAAAAGGCATTTTTTGCATTAAAATTCAGGGAAAATTTAGTATTTATCAGCGGCCGATAAATTCAACAGAGAAAAATCAGAAAGAAATACTACGATGGACAAATTATGACATAAACATCCCCAAAATTGGTGTGCTGATAACTAGCCAACCCACTGAAAGTTTGCAAATGAAGCCAAGCATATTCTAATTGCTCTTATATGTCTTTTGTCATGGGGCTCATCTTGAGGATAAGAATAAATAGTACAATATTCACATTGGAGGCTTTTTGAAGTCATCATCAGATCTAGGCTAAATAATATTAGGCTATAATCGGTCTAGTCAATGACTCTTTGGGTAAACCAGGAGAACACAATAGTTCTCTTTCAGGACAGTTTAATTATTCATAAGTAGAATAAAAGTGCTTGTCAAACTTCTACCTCACATGGATGTTCTCAGGATGAAAAGGATGTCGTATTAGAACAACTTCTCGTTTATTCAAAGTGACTGAGAAATGGATGATTTCACACAAATTATTTCCCCAGGTAACTGCGTACCCATGGGCACAGTTCCCCTTTAGCTGCCAGAACTTATTTTAAAAAATAACAGTCATTTTAAGTGCACTACCATCTTCTCTGCTTTAAAAAAAAAAAACCCAGCATATAATACTTTAAACATTTTTTCTATGTTTCTGTAACATCATGATGTCCATTAGTTACCATACTGGCCAGAACTATAATAGTTCTCTGTGGGCTTCAAAACTGCCAATTTTGTTGGGACTGTACCTGACCCCATGGTAGCCTTCCTTTGCCCTTTAATCAAGCAGGTTTGGGGAAATCAGAGAACCTAGGTTGCTAGAATTTCCTGCATATTAAAGTACAAAGAACAACTAAGAGTCTCTTGAACAGTTAATTGTAAGATCATGGTCACCAGCTTATGGATAATTTCACTCAGAAACCTTTCTCTAACTTTCTAGTTTTCAGATATGTTCCCAGTTACTAGCCTCTGAAATTTTTGACTTTATGGATTATCATTTATTTTTAAGAATTATACTACTGGGTATAAAGCTGAAATACTAGTATTATTATTTTCTTAGATAACATCACATCTTTTACTGAGAAATACTATACAAGAGGAAAACAATGAAGTCTTACTTATTAAAATGTACAAGAACTTAAAAGTTCTATCATAGACTTTTCAGAGCTTACTCTGTGCTACAAAGAAAATTAACCAGGGCGTCAGTAAAATCTGTTGGGTTTACTGCTACTCAAAGTTCTGTCACTGGGGTACCTCATTTATACAAGTAGATTCTTCTGGCCCAATTAAAAATAAATTAACATCTTCTAAAAAATCTTACCAAAAGTCATCAAACTCTGATGTTCTATGTATGTACACATTATGCATATAGTGCCTCGGCTTTACTATACTGTTAATTTTCCTTTAACATCCAATTCAAATTATACAAATTTTACTCTTGGAATGGCCTCTTACCTGATATAATAATCATTTCTGATGAGCAAAAAGTGTTGTAGAATGGATAATAAGTAATTTTCAGCAGGAGTGTCCTTCAACATATTATACAGAAGATGGTACACTTCATTCATATCAGTGCAAAGTAAGTAAAGGAAAACAATCAAAGATTCTTGATAAAAGCTTCATTTATAACAAAAGCAGCTTCATTTTTGGAAACACATATATCATTTTGTTCCCATTACTGTTTCTCAACCTTCAATTCCATGATCCAGTATTTAAACATTTCTATGAAGAAATGCAATCTATGGAATCACTTTAATCTTTTGACAAAAGAAACAGACTTATAGTATTTCCAAGACCATTTAAACATTAAAACCTTAAATGATCAGTTATTCATTATATTTTAAATTCCAGATTATAGTTGGTACCATTGGAACAGTAATGCCGTTAATGAAAATGGTTTTCTCTGGTCCTTCCTGTGGTTGTGACAGAGCACCTGTATTATTCATGCAAGCCACCACCCTTCTCTTTTCACTGCCACATAAAATAGTAAGGCAAACCAACCTTCTGTGGACTGCTAAAAGTTTATAAAAGCAGTTTTATTTAATACAGATGAAATACAAATAAAAGCAAACTGTAATGATTTCATATGTAGTATTTCATTATTTGATAAAAGAGGGAAACTAAAGACAAAGGAGCTTGAAACATATTTTTCTTAGGATATAAAAAGAGAGGTAGAAGTTCAAATGCCTTTAGTACACTAGAAAACAGATTCCAAAAATAGATTCACGCTTATGATGAAAGTGAAGACCTGGAAAATCGGTGTAAAAGAAAAGTAGAAGAGGAGATGTAATCCAGCATTTAAAAAAAAAACCTGAGATGTCAACATTTTCTCCGAAGTAGAACTGAGTATATGATGGATTACTTCTTAGACCCTATGTAAGAGTGTTGTGTTAAAGTCTCATAAGGTGCTTTTAAATGGCTACAGAAAGGATCCAAAAATAGCTTTACAGTGAAGTTTGATGGTAAGAGAAATTTATATAAAGCAAGAAAGCAAGATATTTATTAATTCATACAAAAAGCATTTAATATTATGGGGACCACTGTAGACTACAGCCTCCAATGAAGGATAAGAAATTCTCTCTTATAATAAGAAATTGTTATTCATTACAGATTTATCCAGTACTTGTGTGTAAGACACTTTGACAGTAACGTTGGAGGAAACAGCTGAAACACTTCTGCCCTCCATCTCATAGGGCCATAGAGTGTACATAAACAAGACAGATGTAAACAAAGTACTATAGGAATTTTGAACAGGGGACTATTACTTCCAGTTTTCCTTGGTCACGGGATGGGGAGTGGGTGAGATGGGAGAAGACATCACAGAGAAAAAGTCTAGCTCAAAGGACATTTTGGTTCTAAAGTATTTCCTAATTTCCCCAGAATCCATAAGTAAGGAATTTAATGGATATAAAACAAATGACCAGCAATGCTAGGACAACCATCTTTTAGATCTAAAATCATTTTGAATAAAATAGTTGCCAGAGGACTATATGCTACTAGTATTTGACTCGGTCAGACACTATCATATCTAAACTCTTTTTTCACTAGGGAACCAAAATATTTGGATTGAGAATAAGACATTTATTTGAACTGAATTAGATCTCTAAATCACTGGAGTACCATTTAATAAACTGAAAAAGTATATTACCTACAGTCACATATGAACTCAGTGAACTTTTCCCCAAAAATCCTTATCTGTGAGGAATATTGCCTTAGGCTCTCGTCTATTCAAGACCACTGAGCAGAGTATACTTATAATACAGCAAGCCATGGTGTGAATTTCAATACAGTCTATGTAAATCATCAGGACAGGGTGACAATTCCTCAGCGTGAATCTCAAGGACAGCATCATAGTGAGTTTCTAATATAAATAAATGGATATAAACTGGGCTGGCCGACAAGAATTCTAATAATGGTCCACAAAATCACCCACAAATCCCCTTTTCACAGTACATGCAAAAATGACTTCTGTGGTTTGTCAAAAGGATATTCCATTTCTGCTCGAATGTCATTGAGACGGTGTGATAATTCGGTTAGGTCGTCCTCTTTGTTCTCATCAAATACTTTCAACTGAATATCAAGCTCATCATTCTCTTTTTCTTTTAGATCCTAATATATAAACATAAAACTTAACAGACAAATAACAGTTTGACAACCGCACATTTTGCTAATAAAGGCCTGATGCTATTATTCATTTACATACACAGAAGCCACTTCAAATACTGACCGAGGCACTTGGTTTCCTGAAAGAGAGTATGCTGTTTTTCTTTTTTGAAATAAAAGAACCTTATTGCATTCACTGTATTTCCTTTTCATGCCCCAGATTTTGATGATTCACATTAAAAAATTAACGATCACTTTTACAACAGAAAAAAACTAATTGCTAACAACCCAAATTAAATGCTGTCGTTTTGACTAAACACACTAATCAAAGATCGCAAAAGAACTCATGCAGTTAGAACATTCACATATGCCTCTGGCAAAAAATGCAAATATAGATCAATTGTATTAATGAAGAACAAATGCAAGGATATATTCAAGCACAACAGTCCCAAGTATGGCGTGAAAAGTCGTATAAACAGATTTATTTTAAATGATATTTTGTGATTTTAAAGCAAAAAGGCGTCAGGACTTTTTAATCAAGATGCATGGCTAGCCTCCTCCCCCACCTTTCATCTTTGCTTAGCCGAATCACAAAATACCAACTTGGGCATCAAAGATTTGTTTTTGTAATACATTATAAGCACGTGCATTACAAACCTCTGGGAATTTCAAAATAATAGTATCAACAAAATCTTTGGAAGCATGCCACACTAGAGATTGTTGGGCTTAATATATATCACCTGGAATATCTCTTAATATGTGTCCATTAAGTTGCAGCTTTCAAACCCCAAATCGATAATCACAACTGTGGATGATCAAGGGTGATACCAAGAGTGGGACTAGGATGTTCAGAGCTGAGCTTGAACTCTAAAAGGAAATGCAAGCATGGTGTACTTCAAATTAGGTCCATAAAACAAAATAGGTTGAGTTTCTTCTATTTTTATGCAATAGAACAATTAAAACTGGAGGTGTAATGGCTATAACTGAAGCCAAACACAAATTTATGCAATTTCTAGATGTTCACTTTCTGATATTCACATACATAATAATTTACTGAAAATTTACCTATAGAGCATATGAAAATACTAATGTTTCTATATAATTGCACATAAAATATATAAGAACTAAATGTATTTAACTTAGTTTCCTCTTGAGTAATAACTTGCTTTAGGTTTAGTTTTCCACTTTGAAGGGAAATAAAGAAATTGATTGGAATGTAAAATTATCTAACATTGGTGAGTTATATTATCAGCTGATTTCTGAACTTTATTCAGAAAAAAGAAGACACACCCAGTACGCTGGTCATCGTGGAAACAACCTTTAACACATTTTAGAATACGGAACTTTTCCTTATTCTTCTATCACAATATATTCCTTCTTAGATCCTCACTAAAAAACTTTAACGTATTCAAATATGTTTGAAAAATAGAAAAATCAAGCTAAATACTATCATGTCATCAGAATCAGAATTTTACAAAACATGGGATCAATCTGCATGATTACAATATTTTCAGTGAAAATAACTGGTCAAATGTTTCAGTTTTTAATTAGGATAACACATTATTTATATTATATATAGTATGTGAACATATACACCACAATATAAAGATATAGATATGTATAAATGAAATATCTTAGAAATATAGTTTATTAATAATGCTCCATTAAACATACATGCAATCTCTATATACACACACATAAAAAACTTCTTTTCAAATGTGAAATCTTGAAAGAGATATTCATAAACTCTTGATGAAATCAACATTTAGTGAATTAACAAATTTTTTATATAGCACAAATGTGACAGATACCTTATTAAAAAGGGGACATGCATCTCTAAAGTTTTGTGTTTTAAAATGAAGACTGTCATACAATTACTGAATTAGACTATTAATAATTATATGAAATACTATAAATATGTTTCAGTTAGTTTTCCAACAGATTTGCTGTACAGATATGTAACATTTTCGGCAGATTCTCTGAAATGTATAATTAAGTCTCTACAATATAGTGTACTTCAAAGGAAATCAAAGTCTATTACCAACACATGACTGATTACCAGGCAAGCAATCAAAATTGAGTCTTCAAAAGAATAAGAAAGGGTTTGTCAGTCTTTCATAAGAGATTAAGAATGTCTGCTGCCTACAGACATAATTTCTTACTATCTTGTTCCTTCACATATCTGATTTATCTAATATTTTCTTAATTCATTTAACTAAATAAAAGGCAGATGGAGAAAACTTCACAAGGAATCAATGTAAGTGAACTACAGAGCAAATACCATTTTTAAAAAAATCACCGTATCACATTTAAGAACTCATTTATCCCAAATTACTAAAGCAAATTTATGAAAAGTGAATTTTCCATATAAGTGAAATATAAACTCTCTTTAAACATCTTAATTTATCCATAGAGACAGGGCAAATTTTGAAAATAAATTTTTATGGAATGTAATTAAAATAATTGTCCTTGTCTTGAGGATTCTAATAATTACATGGAAAAAAGTTTCACTGTACTATAATGATGGTCTCAGGGGTTATTGAAATACTAAGAACTACTCTTCCTTAACACTTCATGATTCCAGATAGGTATAAATTTTGATCCATGTGCCAACAATTTGTATCATCCCTAACCACATCTAATTTGCTGCCTTGAATATGATATATTCTAGAAAATTAGGAAGCTCCTTCTGTTAGAACAGTATACTAGAATAAAAGTAAACAGGAAAAAAGTAAGGATAGCAAAAACTCATCTATGAATTTATTATTAAGCTTCCATGCATGTGTAAAAGATGTTTAATGCTACTCTAAATTCTAGTGATTTAAATGTAAATACTTAGTAAATTAGATAGTTAGATAGTAGTTAACATGTTAGGAACATCTAGTAGCATGATCATTCTGACCTTTGCTCCAAATTGTGATAATAAAACTACGAGCACAAGAGCAACTGCAGGGAAATGTATGGTATTTAAGAATGGACCTCTAATCCTCTCAGGGTCTATCTGCCTGGGTTCTGATTCTCATCTTGTATATCAGAAATACCTGAGGAGGACTTTTCTTTTTTTCCCCCAAACCAAACATCTCTGCCCCACCCCCAATAAGATTTTGATAGAATCTCTTTAAAGGGACATGCTCAGCTCATTGGTTGAGAACCAGAGCCAAATTTAGCCATATTTTGCTCCGTTGTCATAGGAGGAAAAAAACTGAGAATCCTTGTAGGTTCTACTCCAAAACTTTAGGAGGCAGAAACATAACACTTCTCACTTTCCTCTTGCTGAGGAAACACTGAGATCTAAGAATCAGGGCATATTGAAGAGATGTGATAGTCAAAGAAAAATCTAACTGAAAGTGTAAGTTAAGAAGTCCAGGGTCCCACAAAAGGCTTCATCTGAGGCTATAGGGCCAATGGGAAAATGAGCTTAGAAAACAATGCTGCAAAACTTTAGCCATCGATATAGTCAAATGAAAAATATCATGAGAGCATGGAACCCAGCAGAGATGAATACACCCTGACAAAAGTGCAAAAGGTAAGGACAAGAGCTACTGTGCATACTCCTTCTGAAAAGATGAGGACTTAAATAAATTAAAAGGAGAGTCACAGTTTTCTTGACCAGCCATTCAGTAGTAGAAAGTAGAAAATGAATGTTCAATTATAAACAGACACCGGAAATGAAAGATAGAAGAGTAACAGCAACAACTAAGGCAGAAAACCAGGGCATATTAATAAATGAGTAGAGGATGCTCGGAAGTCCCTGAAGCCAGGAAGTGTCCAAAGACACAATGACTCTCCTGGAAACAGAGCCAGCCCAGTGAGGACAAGCATGGGTGGGAATCAATGAGTAGGCAACTCAAAAGCACTCTAGAATCAAGACTAGAATATTACCTCTAGCTACATAAGGGCACAGACTTTCCATGAGGAGAGATTTGTGGCAAAACAAGAATAAGCGTGTTCCATACACTATAACTAGTGAATGGGCCTAAGTTAACTGCATACTGAACCTCTAGACAGTCACTTACAATGATGCATTGGTTGATTCACTACAACCAATTCCTTGGATTTTAAAGTCATGGGTGAAAGAACCATTCAGAGTGAAATTGACCTAGAAATTTCTAAAACCACATCTAATCATTATCTTAATAAAATGGGTTTCCATAGATCCAGCTGTACATTTTATGATGATAAGCTTCAACCACTTTCAGTGAAGACTATCAGAAGACAAGTTATAGATGCATGCTACACACTTGTTCTTCACCAGAACATTTTCCTGATTTTACTATTTCTAGTACCCTAGGAATGTCTTATACATATGCTCACTGACATTTGTTTTTTGTTTTTTTCTTTCCTTGGTCCTTGTATTCCCCCTCCCCCCATCTTTTTTTTTCTTTTAATGGATGTACTGGGGATTGAACCCAGGACCTCAAGCATGTTAAAACACACGCTCCACCCCTGAGCTGTATCCCCACCCACTCCTCTCTTACTTTTACTTCTTGTATCTCAGGTGTGGTCTGAGTAGCTTAAGTAAAGAGACTACTGAGCTTTTGTCTTCTTTAACAATGCCATGATCTTGAACAAAATCCTTCAGGTAACATACTAAATAAAGGATAAAGTTATGGGAGTTGTATTTCTATTTATAGAATAACTGTGCTCATTTATCTCAGATCAAGCGTATAAAGTTAGTTCAGAAATGTTTTTAACAGTATCATAATTAGAGCAAATATCCACACTCAATGTAAGAAATAAAATTGTTTTTCCTTAAAGTTGCCATGGTGTTTTTAACAAGAATATCATTCTTAAGTAACGTGTCTAGAAGATATGAATCAAAATTATATGCATACTTATGCTGAATATAAAGGATATCAATCTAAGTTATCAAAGAGGAAAGCAAAAAAATTTTAAATGAAAATTGAAACTGCAAAAAAACCCAGCCATCTTTTATGTTCTCAGTATTCAATTCAAAGAAAAGAAGTTCCCTTTTGACTTCAAGAAGACCAAAAAACCCATTACTTCTGGACACATCATTAGCTGAATTCTGAATCATCAGTTGTATATCGAGACTAACACTCCTGCAATATAAAAAAGCTTACAAAAATGTCTAATGCTTTACAAAAGAAAACGGCAAGGCACATTGATTTATTCTGTTGCAAAATTTCTATATACTTCTGTCTAGAGAGAGAAAAACGTTAAAGTTCACAAACATAATAAATGCACACGTTCAACTTACTGGTAACATTGTTTTTAGTCCTGAACGAAGGAATTCATTCCTTAAATGTATTCGAAAATCAAGCTCATAAGGAGATGTGACAAGGGCATTTATAAACTGCATGCAGGCCACCTGCAAATAGAAAGCAAAATTTGTTTTAAAAAAAAGGTTTTTTAATTAAAGAAGTATTTACTTGATGCATTCAGATCATTTTTCCCATTTACTAAAGGCATGTATATATATAATGAAATATAGAAAGAAATATGAGTATTTATATAAGTATAATGATTATGACTTCACAGTATAAACCAAAAAATTAGCAATAAAGTTGCTAATGTCCAGAATAATTCTACTGATGATATGATGGACGGTCAAGTACTGCTTTGCTTTGCTAAATGATATGAAGGAATATTAAACTCTCTCTGACAAACTCAAAAGTGTGGGTATAGAGCACTTTAAAAAGATCGTGAAATGTGTCTTTCACATCCAGCTGTCCTCAGAGTACACTTGGCCTCAATTCTACATGGTTATAAACACTTTTCTAAAATAAATCAAATAAAGCTATAAAAGTGCCCTGATATTAAACAGGGAACACTGATAACTTAGAGATATTATTACATTGATTTATACTCTCTCTATTCTATTACTGGATGGATTTGCACAAAATAGAGAGTATTAAAATATATGATTAAGAGGAATTGATTTACTATGTATAAAAGATGAATGCATGTGAATTAAGATCAATGAGAAGGCACTTTGACACCAATAATTGCACGATAAAGTAAAGAGAAGGGCTTGTTTTCAAGTGAAGGTGATTTATTAATTAGATTGATGCTGGAAAATGGGTTTGTCTTTTCTTCTGATATTGAGGTTTTCTACTATAAAAAGGGAGGAATTTGTTTTCCAGTAATTGCAAGCTAGAAGAGTATCAACTAAATGCTAATTGCCAGGTGTTCCATACATTATTCCTCATTCTCGGAAAATGCTGCTCAAGTCTGAGGCAATTGGCTAATAGTTTAAGTGAAAAGCTGCACATTGAAACTGATTATTTGTAAAGTAAGCAATGAGTAGTAGAACGTTCAAAGAGCTGATTCCAAGGGGATGCCTGGAAAACACCAGATTTAGTAAAGATGTTAAGTATATATCGAAGGGGACACAAACAAATAATACATAGTTAGTATGGAGAAAACACATCAGCAAAAGAAAAATACTTCAAATGTATTTTGACTTTATCAAGTCAAACCCATTGTTATGATAGTAATATTTTTTTAAGTATAGAGAAAATATTTAAAGGTATATTGCTTTTATTTTTATATCCATATCTTATGCACTTACACTGTTTTTTGGGAGATTAGCCCATCCACCTCACATCCAGGTCCAAAAATCAAAGGTTGCATGCATTAAAGGGGATGATCAAGATTGTCTCAAACATTATTAGACATCTAAATGATAACTGAACAATGTAGTCCAATTCCCATGACTGCTCCAATGTCAAGCTAAATCACTTAGACATCTGACTAAGTATTTGCCACTGACTTGGCATTACCTTAAAAGTCGTATCAAAACAAAAAGTCATATCAGATAAGTTATTATGACGCTTATGCCTTAAAGGGCTACTTAACCTTCCTACTGACAGTAAGAAAATGTTTCGGTCTTTATAGTTTTAATAGGCTGGGATATAAGTTTGCATACTGTATGTGTCCACAGCTATATTATCATTGTGTTTGCTCGAACGATTCTTGTTATGTTACAACTATGACCTGACCGAACAAGCCAAAGTATATGTCCAATCCAAAATTAATAGAGAGAAAAGTTGCCATCTGCTTGGATTGTTCTGGCCAGAAGAAATTCTAGCTTAATGGCTTGTATTAACACCCTACAAGAAGAGAGAACATTTCCATAAGAAACAAGTTAATGAGTCTTGGAATTGTACCTTTATACAAATAAAAGTATTTGGGTCAGGAAATAATAAAAATACTAAAAGTCAATAAAATTAATGAATGTAACAACATCAAAATAATTTACCTTTAAGAAGATAAATGTTGTAATGCTGTTAAATACTTAACTATAATGTTTGAATATATAACTAAATACTTAAAAAAGAAGTTACATCCATTGTTTATAGTATAAAATAATTAGCAGACACTCTTAAGTCAGTAGTTTAAAGAGGTAATAAGACTGGCTTATCAATGTAGTATTTTTTAATCAAATTCTAATAGATATTTAATTAATTACAAATAACATAAGATGAATATTCATACTACTATGTCATTTTCCAACATAATCTGCTAAAGCAATGCTCTTTAATAGGAATATTTATATTTTATGAATGTGGTGAACAAAAAAGTCATCTTAATTATCTCCATTCCTTTATACCACTAGACAATTACTGCCCTTTTCAGAGGACAGGAACAAAATCAATCCAACTGCCACTATTTACAAAGTCAAATTTTAAAAATGCAATTAGTTTAAAGGGCGGAATATATTATTAATTATAAACATGAAATACCCATTGTGTGGATTCTGAATTCATAGCTAAATACAACCCTCAAACTATTATCATTATTATTTTTTTGTTACCAGACGATATTAGGTGTTTTATATAATTCATCATCTAATCTCATCCTTGCACAAACCATGTGAGGTAAGTGTTACTATCATCCTTATTTCATAGATGATGATGCTGAGACTGAAAGCAGATAAATAATGTACACAAGGTCACAGAGCAAGGAGGAAACTCATGATTCTAAACCATATCTCTTTACTCCAAATACAGTATAATTTCCAGCACATTTCAGATGCCTCATAAACTCCATTCCTAGATTAATACAATAAAAGATTTTAAGGACGGAGAAGATAATAAAATTTAACTAGTGCATCATGTTTAATATATTGGGAACACCTAAAAACATACAATTATTTTAACAATATGTTATCTAGTATATTAAGCAGTTCTCTTATATGTCAATTATACATCAATTATACCCCAATAAAAATAAAGTGGTTATCATAATATATAATGAAATGGGAAGAAAGAATGAAAAGGGAAGAAGGAAGGGAGGGAGAAAGGGAAGGAGGGAGGTAGAAAAATGGTTTCTGGAGTGTCTTATGTTCACTTTCTATATACCCCAAACAAGGACCTATGGGCAGCATCCCATCATCCAAAAGAATGGCCTCTCACTCTCCTTCTTGCCCCCTTTATACCCCAATCCCTCCACACTCCCTATTCAGCACAGATGTGCGTGCAGATACATCACATACACACACACACACACACACACACACTCTCACACACACACTCACAAGAGCTTGCTGTTCAATAGGAAGCCACTAAACACAATTTAAATTTAGGTTAATTGCAATTAAATAAAATTTAAAATCCAGTTTCTCAGTCTCACTAGTCACAGTTCAAATGTGCAACAGCCACGTGTGGCTAGTGGCTACCGTATCAGACAGCATGGATAGAGGACACTGCAGAAAGTTGGACTGGACAGCACTGCAGTGGACACATTAAATACTCTAGACCAATATCCTCATTTAAAGGTAAAGAAACCTCAGAAGATTAGATGATCTGCCCACGATTATACAGCTAATGATAAGCCACAAAGATTGGACTAGAACTCAGGCCTTGTAACTTTTGGTTCTGGATTGCTGCGACCACACTATGATGTGCACAAATCTGGCGTTGCTGAATAGCATTTTACCTCATACTGGAAAGAAAACAAGTGCCTTTGAAGTGAAATCACAGAGTCCACTACCCAGATTCCATCTGTTGCTTAGTTGCTGTATAATGGCTCTAAGGTTCAAAATGGCCAGCCAGATTTATTTGCTTTAAATACAACCTCCATGAAAAGTCAAATTTAAAAATCATAGGAAGTCGGTGAATTTTCTCCATTACTGATAAATATGCTAAGGCTAGGACCACAATTCTGATTTTTAACCAGTAAAACTAGTTTCTGTATTTGGATTTTTATTAAATGATCTCCTTATATCATGAGATTTCTGCATATGATATCCATATAATCTACAGAATGAATGCATAAACATACAGATAAAAATCACCAACTTTGTGCAAGTGACAAAGCATCCAATCATTTGTGCCATGCATAATTATACTAAACTGAATTACTGTCAGTTTTTCCATCACATTATGATCCGTCCTTTACCATCATAGTATATGTTCTTTCTACAATAATCACCTACATTCTCTAGCCAAAAGATGTTATTGTCTTCATTCTGGGGTGTAGGGTGTGGTATAGAGAATGAAATATCACAAAACAGATTTTTACACTTCCTAAAGATAAGGTTCTGCATTTGTTTAGGGTTTTCTTTATCACCCCAACTGCCTCCAATAAAATGTTTAAAATATAATGAGTGAATAGTCATTAAATATTTCAAATCTTATTGACATGAGATACATCACTACAAAAAGAAATTGCGTTCAGCTTCTTACCTAAGTGATAGAGAGGGGAAATATTTAAACATAAAATTTCTTCACAAAATTACTGAGAAAGTGCTAGAACCTTTTATTTCCTTTAACTCACCAGCTTTGAAAACTACAAACATCTATCTGTCTGATCACAATTCATAGAGCTACAGAGTACAGTAATTGCCAACTCCAGGACATTCTCAGACAGATTATCCATATTGCCATTAGCTGTGACAAATTGTGCTTTTAAAAAGTTATTGACACTGTCACACAGTGACCTTATTAAGTACTCTGTTGACATTAACAAGGTCTTTCTTTATCCCAGCCCAGAAGGAGTTAGGAAAAAAGACAGTTTAAGTCAAAATAAGTACTAACCAAGAAAGATACAAATGTACAGAGCACATTAATTAAGTCAAAAAATGGAGATGGACTCCAGGTACAGCAAAACCATATACAAAGGATTGGAGGTAGAGGGATGAAAAAGTATAAAATGTTCAAGAGACTGAGTACAGCATGACAGGACCAAAAACTGTATGTAGAAGAGTGGTGGAATACGAGGCTAGAGGCAAAGCAACAGCAGGTGATGAAGCGTTTTGTGTGGACTTCACCCCTAGAGGCTACGGGAAGATGTCATAGAGCTTTAAGCAGTGATATAACAAGAAATGCACTTCAGAAGTATAATGGTGAAGAATGATTTAAACAG